GAGGACGAAGTGAGAACGATGGGCACAACAAATCTGAGCGCAGGACAAGTACTGCGCGCCAGAATGAATAAAGGGAAAGCGAAATACATTTATTTATATATATATAATTTTGAAGACTTGCATTTGCTTCCAAGAAAAAGCTTTTTGAGTTTAAAATGAGAAAAGTGGTTTGAGATTTTAATGACTTAATGTCTTCAAAATAACCAACTAATTCGATCGCACTGAGTCTATTTAAATGATTATAAAAACTGTTGTATTCTAACATAAGAAGTGGGTATATGCTTATAGGAACCTTATGAAGCGGTTTTGCTAATATTCTAGATCATTTTCAGTTTTCGAATACTCAGCTTATTTGAATTATATTGTTTTTACTACGGCGAAATGGAAAAATAATGAATAAACTGATTTAATTATCTATACACATGGGAAATTAAGATGCATTTCATTTTCCGGAATGAATACAGGGATACGAATGGTGAAAATGTGTATCATGTTTCGGATTCATTCGATAGTGACTTAATGCTTGAAATTGATAGTTACGGAAAAAGTGTATCAGCAGCAGGGCTTGATCGTACTCAAGAAGATCTGAACAAATATCGACAACGTATTGATGCTAACATAGAGCATCAAAAGGAATATTCCGATATCATTAGTGCATTACAACACAAGGTTAATGGTGTTATTTTTCTTTAAGCTGTCATAATATGTAAGTTGTATGACTTTTATGAAATGCTAATTTATTTCTACTACTTGTTAATTTATCATCAACTGTTTGTAAGCTTTAGGTTCAAGAGTATCGTCAACATATAGCAGATCTAGAAGGTCGAATAGCAACACGCCGATCCGATGAGCCACTGCCATTCACCTTCATTGATTCGAGTATATATGCCACTGATATAAAATACAAGGATGAAATGATATGGAGTCCAAAGAAAGGCTTAGATGATGCTGCTGAGTATCAACTTTTGAACAAACTGGATGAGGAACGCAGAAAGTTTGATTTAAGATAACTACTGAACACGTATAGCTTCTAAGACATATTTCAGATATTTCATATGCAATTTTGTGTTCTTATATCTCGCTAGCAAATACAAGTTGAAATACTCATTTATTTTTAGAGTGGATGATTATCGAATACAATTAGAGCAAGAACGCATCCAGAATGATCAATTGCTGCATGAAAACGAACGTCTTCGCCAACAGTTTGAAACGAACATTCGAGAAAACGAACGTATTTTCAAAACTAGAGAAAGAGTAGGAATTTTATGTGAACATGACTTCAGACATAGAACGAAGAAATTTCTTACACTGTGATTGTTCAGAAAAAAATAAGATTGTCCGAAATGGGTTCAGAAATGCTTTAATGACAAAATAAGTTTTTCTTTTTAGAATCTGGTGCAGTATCTGAGTGATGAACAAAAAAAAATGATGGATCTATGGGCTGAACTACAGCGGGTTCGCAAACAATTATCTGAGCATAAAGAACAAACCGAGCATGACCTGGAAAATCAGCGAAATGAGTTTATCCGTGTGATTCGAAACGTTGGCGGCTTAGCTAAATTGCTAAATCTTGGCGGAGTTCAGGTATTCATCCTGCAACTTAAGTGATATCATTAAAATAGCGAATAAAATATTTCCAGATTAATAACAGATGAGCTTTTGAAGTGTACAAAAATGTCATGATCAAGTTTCTAAGATCTTTGACATAAATGCATTTTTAGAGTGGACATGGAGGCATCTCAGAGCCTTTGCTGATTGAAAATGGTCGTGGAGGAAGTGAAAGTATAAGTCAAGATAGTATACTCATTGAAGCGATTAACAGAATACGTGAAAGCCAGCGACATTCAAGTCAGCCAAATTTGCAACTGCCGAGTCAATTCAAGCTTGCAGGTGCAGTAGCCGGTGATGTCGACTTATACAATGAACTTATGAAGAAGTATGCTTAGATCTTAATCTTTTGTCTCACATTCAAATTAATAAATTTCCAATCACATTCGAATTAAGTGATACGGAAAGGTGTCGAATTTACAGATATGAAGAATGCATTGAACGGAATATTGAACTTGAGTCTAGAGGAAATGAATCTCATCGAAAGATTTCTGCACTTGAAGCAGAGCTTCGACGTACTAAAGACCGTCTCTTAGATAACCAGGTCAGTCAAACTATAGCTACTAAGCATGACAGAAAACTGCTTGAACTTTTATTTCTTCTTATTCCATATTCTGTTTTTTGAGGCTGCACTTCGAAAAATGCACGAACTGGCTCAAGATGCTTCACGTGATCCTGATCGAGAGAAAAGAACTCGTTCGCTTTCTCCAAGTAATAATGAACAATGAGTGAAATTGATCTTGATGTTGGAAATGCTTTCTCTGTAATGAAGCAGATTTGCAATATTGAAAATTAAAAAGTTGTTATGAATGGATATTTGTAGAAATTAAGTTGCATATTATAGGTGGTACACCTCTTCCGCCATCGGAAGCTCTACGTAGTGTTCGTAATATCATTCGTAATAAAGATAGTCAGATTCAACAACTGGAGAGGAAATTAAAAATGGTTGAAAGTCAGGTAAATTGATAATTTGAAGAATAAGAAATAAGTTGGAATGACTTATTTTGGTTTCAATTCCAAGATCGATTATATATCAAACTTTTATAATTTAGGTCAAAGATTTTATGAACAAATTCGAACATGCTGATGAAGCAAGACGTTATTTGGATAAACATCTGGCTGATAGCAAACGCGACCTGACAAACCAGTATGAGTCAGCTTATGATTTAAAACAGAACAATAGGCTAATAGTTTCATTTGATTACTTTTTTCATTGCTAACACAGATTAGAAACTTCAGGATCAAAAACCTTGATGATGCAGAACGTCAACTGAGACGTTTGGAAGAGCGTCTTCGTGCCGCTGATTTGGAGAAAGTAGCTGCTGAAAAAGCGAAAAAATTTCTGGAAGAAGAAATTAATAAGCTGCATCAGTTAGTGTTTATTAGTTATTTCCACAGCGAGGTGAATATGGCTGTCAAATTAACAGAAAGCAACTGTTTTGCATTTTCTGCGCTCAGTTTCTTATATTATTACACTATACATTATCATCTACCTGGTTCTGTTCGCTTAATTTCGAACAGTTATTTTTTCTTCTTAATTAAAGGTGGAAAAATTCAGAATTTATCCATCAGATCGATTTTTTGTCTACATCTCAACTTTTGAAAGATTAGTTTTTATATTAAGTTTTGCTTTCGTTTAAATTAGGATATGGAAAAAATTTAATTGCAGACAGTATCAGAAAGCAACAGCAGAAGAGGAACGCAAAGCTCGCGACAAGGAACAAGAAATCAACATAGGATTCGAAAAAGAATACAAAGACCGGTAAATGTGTTAAAGACTTTAGTATTATTAATATCATTATGACAAGTTATTTTTTTTTGATCGCAAACAATGTGCAGAACAATAATTTTTCAAGTTTTTAAGTTATTTGAGAAATATTTCAGCATTAACGAATTAATGCATCGCATCGAGACAATTCAACGAGATAATGCGAAGTTAAAAGCGGAATTGAATACAATGAGAGATAAATATAGAGATATCGAAAATGAATATAACATTACTTTAAGGAAACTTGAAGAAAAGGGTAGTTTATGAATTTCCCAGTTCTTTTTGTTAATAAATGACATTGAAAATAACACTACTGAAATTCGATAGACGATAAATTTTAAATGTTTCAAAGTTCTGTAATAATTCATTTAGATGCTGCTTTGCATCACTTTGACGAAATTAAGCGTCAAATGACTAATGAACTGGATCAGCAGCGGAGTCGTTATAATGCAATCAGTTCTGAATTTGAAAAAGTAAACAATGAATATGAAAATACTAGCAAAGAGAAAGTAGCAATCGAACAAACTTTACGTGAAATCAAGCAGCAACGAAATGATTTCAGGTAAAGTGAAGAAAGCTGTTATTTCGATTGTAATCGTATATATAGATTTATTTGATATATCCTCCAGGCTTTGCAATTTGGTTACTTGAATTATATGCTGGTTGTTTTCAGAGTATGATTCATTTTTTGTCCTTGATAGGTTCTACTTAGACTTACTTGTTATGAATTCTGCTTTATGTTTCTTTATTACCGAAACTAAAAAGATCTCAATGTGAAACTTGCAGTAAGCAAAAAGATGAGCTTTCTCGGCAGACATTCGATCTGAAGCACTTAATAGAGAACGAAAAAGCAGCTAGAGAAGAAACAGAAAAAGCAAACATCCGTACGTAGTTTAGAATATTTTTCATGTAAAGCTTTTTTTCAAGCTTTGCATTTTCTGAAAAGGAAACTTTCAGGTCTTCTGCAAGAAGTTGAAAAAACTAAACTTCAAATAACAGATTACGAAGATCAGTTAAATATGTTGCGTAGGCACAATGACGAGCTAGACACACAAATCAAAAGTGGCCAAGCTAAAAGCACAACCATTGAGAATGATTTAATTACAAGTCAAAGAGAAACTGTTCGATTAAATGAACTTAATAGTCGTCTCCAGAGAGAAAAGCAAGAAGCCATTAAGTTCGTTTAATCAAATAAACCATCAAGATTTGTGGTGGCTTTTCCAGATTTAATAGAAATGTATAAATCATTAAAGAATGTGGTTCATGTATTAGTTTCCATTACAGTCAGAAACTTAAAGCCGAAAGTGATCTGGAAGCAATGAAAGAACAAAGTCGGAAAATGGAACAGGAAATTGAAAAACTGAGAGCAGAAAATCGAACAATTATTGAAAAAGAAGAACATACTCGTGATGCTTTGACGCAACGCATGAATCGTGCTCATCTCCTAGAGAAGGAACTCGAAGAAGCTAAGCTGGAAATTGAAGAACTTAACGGTGGATTTTTTGAGATGAAATATTTAAATTTCTTGGGTAAAATAATAATTAAAATTTTCATTTAAAAAAAATTCCAATAAATTGAGAAAAAGCAGTGAATAAAAATATCTGTTCAATTTCATTACTTACAGCGAGCATCAAGCGTTTAGAACGAGAACTTGCCGGTCGTACTCGTAGCGCACGGAAAGAGTCTGAGGAAACAGGTCAATTTAAAAGATTTGAAACATAAATGAAGTTTTTCCTCTTACTGAAGAATGAACTAGATTGTTTCAGATAAAATTTCACTCGGACATAGTGGCCCGACAATCCATGAAGCAGAAGTTCAAGAAATCCGGATTAAGGAAGTGAATGACAAATGGAAACTTGAAGTGGACAAACTTCTTGGCGAAAAGGTGCAATATTATGAATATGTATATAATTGGTACGGAGCTTTTTAGTATTATTGATTCTGACGCTCAATCGTATTCTGGCATTCTCGCTGCACTCGCCTCCTGCTAAATTCAGTTGTGCTGGTCCCCATTTCTCTGTCCTCGAGTAATCCACGGCGGTGATCGAATGAGATGCTTTCGAGCATCTTCTTGAGCACTAACGATTGGACAAATGCTTCAACATGATCAGATATACTAGTGCTTATAGAAGTTCGTAATCATCCCATTCCAAGTTACTACATACAAATGAATCCTGTTCTTCGTTTCATATCTGCCTCGAGCCATTATATCGTACATATTTTCGTCTCGACTGTAATCAGCCTGTCCTGACTAGTGATGCCAACCTCTATCAGGATTACTTCACGTCGCTTCTTATCGTGTATCATGATACCTGGTCCATCCGCACTTATCTTTATCTCTTTCATGATATCCTCGTCGTCAGTACCAAGGAGGTTGAGGTCATCCACAAATATAAAATGGTTCGTTACATGCATTCCTTGATCGGTGGGAACTTCCACCTTTGACAAGCAAATTACAAAAGCTGTTCATAGTGAAAGGTTTGTCAAAAACCGGATGGCACTCGCTGACTCCGATCTTACATAATTATAATGATCGCATATGGTTTTGATGATCTTTACGCATTATGATATCATTGTTCAGACATCTTCAGTATTCACTCAAAATATTGAGTGCAAAGACGAGATTTAATAGTTTCTCATGGTCAACACACTTCAAGATAGCTTTTGTCGCGGAGTTAGGCTTGTGAATTCAATTTGTTCCGTTTTTTCTGCACGAGTAATCGTCTATTAGTTAGTGAGACTTAACAGGACCATGCATAAAACGAACAAGAGGGAGAAAGGCTGCCACTCT